GACTCCTCTGAAGGAGGTACTAAAAGGAGACTAGTGAAGGAGGCCACCAAGACTCCTATGACTCCTCTGTTTCCAGCTCCAGCAGGCAGCTGAGATGGGAGACTGTTCATACATCAAGTGTTTCTATAGGTGCTGTAAATACTTGGAGGGAGGAAGGAACATGCAGGAGAAAAACCTGACTATGAAAACATGAAGACAACTCCAACAACAGGATGAACAAAGTAGAGCATTAGTGGCGAAACTAAAAAGAGATAAAACTAGAAGATCGACGTCAAAAGATTGAGGGAGAAAAAATAGTAAAACCAGGTGAGCAAATGGTACAAAAAGCAGGAGTGGACATGACTCGGGCAGCTTCAGGATGAACTGAAAAACAAGGGGATAAGAAGACAATTGTTGAATTTAGATTTAAAATTGCCAAAAGTGGGACAGAACTTAAACCTTTAAGGAAAACCAGCTGGGCTAATGTGGTGCAGGTCGTCCTGGTGCCACCAACACAGCACGGACACGTGACCTCTGAGGCTCTCTTGTGGCACCAGTGGAGGGTCTTTGTGGATCTGACTTGTTCTGGTGCAGCTCTTAGATGCTCAGTCCGATTGGAATCCGGAGAGTTTCGAGGCCGGCTGGCTCTTTGTCGTGTTCCTCGAGCCTTTCCTGAGCAGCTTTCCTCTGCTACACGTCAAAGAAACAGCCACGTGAATGCAGGAAACCAGCGCTGCTCACGGCACCTGTCAGTGGTTTTAATGCTGTGGCTGCTCGCTGAAGCTGCAGGTGTGTCGCTGCCAAGAACGGCTGCTGATTGTGGCTGAAGGAACAGTAGGAACAAAACTTGGATGGGGATGAGCGACGAGGGCTGCCAAACAAAGTCACGGTTTTAAAAGGTGATTCAACAAAATCTGTTACTTCTGAGCTTCACAGACAGCGTTTAGAACGTAAAGCCACAGAAAAAAAAAACAGGCTGCATAAACCCTGATAAAGTGAGGAACACATTCTGCTCTGATGAAGCGTGTTCTCACCCTTGTGCTGCAGGCAGATGGATTTATTTCAAGGGAAGCCCACAGGATGCTCCTCGGCCCGGTAAACCGATGCTCGCAGCTGGCGGCGCTCCAGTGATATACGATCGTCCACTTGCAGGAAACCCGATGACTGTTCTGGTCGGTGACGCTGAGGAACATGAAGCTCTGCTGCAGCAGCAGGAGTTTGGTGAAACTCGTGGCCTCTCACATCTCCGTGAACCCGCTCTCAGCTGCACTTTTCAACCCCACGTCTTCGACAAGCACAATATCTCAGATCTCGATTCCACGAACTCAACCTTTGACATTTCAAGTTGAATAAAAAACAACCAACTATCTCGGCTTCAGCACTCTTTTATTTTATCTCGACTCCTCCTGTTAGTAAAATGGCGGATGCATTTCTCCATATGTACACATGACCTATAAAAATAGACAGGCAGACGAGGGAAAAGCCAGAGGACACGCCGCTCTCATCAGTATGTACATCAATATAGAACATCAGAGTTTTTAATCACACTATAAACACACAACAACAAAAAAACAAACCTAGAACAGATGTAGTGCTCAACTCAGGATGCAAACGTTTTGTTGTAGTTTTTTCTTTTTCTTCCTAAAACATCGACGACATCGAAGAGAACCACAGACTCAGTCTCATCACAGAAAACAGCTTCGGGGAAAAAAAATAAAAAGGAAATGGCTTCAGAATTCACAATTTACAGCTTTACATGTGAATATTAGCGCTATTATCGCAAATTGCCCGTTTGAACACAACTCTAATAACTTAAATAGACAAGCAGAGAGTCAATTCATAGATTTACGGTTAGCAGCACGGCTGTATCAACCCCTCAGTTTGGAATATAGTTTTGTACATTATTTTCCCATTCGGACAAAAAATATAATTACTGGAATACATTTTATGGACAAAATCTTTTCAAAACGTCAACACCTGCCATGTTGGTTTGGGCACTGGTTCGTTACAAAAATAGGAGCTTTAGTACAAAAGCTGTGTTGTTTGGTAAAGTGTTGGTTCAGGGAAGCTGGGGGTTCACATTAAGCTCTGTGAAATGCAGAATCATCCACCAGGTTGCACTGAGCGTATCTACAACATTTAAATAACCTAACGTACACCTATGAGAATCACCAGGAAGACGTGGCTCAGTGCATCTGACGGAAACTCCTTCGTCTGGCTGCCGTCTCTGGCAAAACGCAAGGATGCGAACAAGCCCTTTAAAAACTACACGTGTCGCTCCGTGTCTCTGTCGTCACGCCACGGCCAGGCGGCAAAGCAGAAGAGAGTCCTGTCACCGGTGGAAACGTACAGTTCTCGGAAAAAAAGCACTTGGAAATACTCCAAAACACAAATACTCAAGGCAGGTTTCGTCCTCTGAGCGGGACACATTAAAACACAACTGAAGTAACTCATGTGGAGGCTGGTGGAGACTGAACCTTCAGATGACTGTGAGCGTTTTACGTTGGTCCTCCAGGTAGTGAGCCTCAGGGACTAGAAATACTGCACTCCCTACTTATTAGTTTAGGCATAGGGGCGTCGTCTGCAGGGGTCACAGTGAAGAGAAGGTCAGTTTTCTGTGTGTGTTTCGGGGCACATTCGTGTGTGTGCAGAGTGTCTGAGTGCATCACCGAGCCCCAGGACCACCAGGGCCCTTCCCCTTCCTGACTGCGCCGTGGCTGCTGTGGTGGTGGCTGTGGGCCAGCTGTTTGTGGGGGCTCGGCGTGGAGGTGCCTCCTTTGGCCTGGGGAGAGGAGCTCCTGCTGGGGTTGAAGGCGGGGCCGGTACCGGACCGGCCCAGGGAGGGCTGCAGGGGGCTGGACGCAGAGAGGCCGGCTGAAACAGAAAAGGACTCGGTTACCTCTCCTGGTGGAATACAAGCGTGTCCTGCTGCGATATGTCATTATAACGTAGTTGGACTGAACTTTTCTTTTTCACATATGACACAAAAGTCAACAGACTTAGATAGGGATGCCGATCCAATCTCAAAAATCAGGATCAGAGCCGAGCAAAGCATGTGTTAACTGATCTGTTTCAGCTTCATTGAGCCTAAACTTTAGCTCCATCCTTTGTTTATTTTTCAGGATGCAGCGAAAACGTCGACAGTATCTTAAACTGAGCTTGTAACGTCTCCAATGTGAGCATGTTGAGCAGTAACAGAGCTGCACTGACTACCACCAGTGTGTTACTGCATTAAAACTCTGGCTGGAAGATGACGAGTTCACTTGGACGAGTCAAATCCAAAGCAACAGGCTGAAGGAGACTGTAAAGGAGACAGAAGTTTCCAAAAAGGCCAAAAACAACATGAAGAAGTCGCTGAATTCAGCCCAGCAGGTTCTCACCCTCTTTTGGGACCGTGCATGGAAAGCCTGAAGGTCTACAATTCACCTGCTTGCACAAATCAAACATCCCGTTCTATGAGCTTTCCAACAAGGTCCTCGACCACTGATAAGGTCTTTCATCAGACGTCATCAGGCTTCAACACCCTGAAAACTCTCATTTGTTTCTCACTTTTTAGCGAAATCGTTAACTCTTGTTGTGGCAGCGAATATGAATCTCTGACACCATTTCAAGGAGGATTTGTAACTGTGCTACTCTTTGTGACTGGTTTGGTTTTACTGCTATCATGCAGCGCTAAATGGAGTCGCGTTAGGAACTATTTATGAAGAAACTGTTTAGTTTGTTGGTCAATTTGTTCAACAAACACAAACCAGCGCTGCACTAAGTTTATTCTGTTTATTTTGTGAGATAAAAACAACTTTCAGAAATGCATTTTTTTATCAGATTGATTTTAAAAACGTCAGCGTACCTGAAGTGTGCACTGTGCAACTGCGTTTTTTAGGAAATGCTGCTGGATTGGGACTCGGCATCGGCAGATATTTAATATTAAATGACTCCAACAAATCCTGATCAGGACATCCCTATAGTTAGCTGTTCCATCCTGACATCTTTGGATTTGTTAAGTCTGGTCAGTTTTATTTATAAAGCCTATTTAATGAGTGGAACCAAAGCGTTTTACAAATTTAAATAGCATCCCATAATTTACATTAACATCATAAATCTGAGTGAAACTAAAGAGACAACACAAGACGAGAGGCGGTTCTGATGTCAGGCTCTAACTTGACTTGAACGCAATTCAGAAAAAGTCTCAGTCAGGAAAACACAGAACATTAACAATACTGCAAAATGTCAACCCTGGTGTTTAAACTTGTTGGGTACATTTGTTACGCTAATCTTATTTCTCATTGGAAAGCACTTCAGGTCAACATCTGCTGCTTGAAATCTGACGTATAACTAACGTTGACTTGACGAGGAATGAAGCAACGCACGCACATGTGTCCGACATTCAAACCATCACATCGAATGAAGCTCACCGACAGACAGCCAAACGCTTGCTCTGATGTCTCCTGTGGTATTTACAGCGATGCCCTTCAATCACTTTTTATAAAAATTATTTCCAGCCGCGAGCATTTCATCCAAGTTCTTTGTGCAATGCATGATGGGTGAATCACGTCAACTGACAGCGCAATGAGAACTCGAGGGCTTTCTGTGTGAATGCTGCCTTTTGTGCTCTTCCAACGAGAACACAGCGTGCACTCTGCTTCAGATTAATACGTAGCACGAGAATGTGAGGACAGACTACATTCACACGATTCGTGAAAGTTGAACTATAACACCTGGTGACGAGAAGTGCTGAGGAATAATATGAAACGATTTAATATGCTGCTAATACCAGCTTCTCATGTTGATTTAGAATGAATTCAGGCTAATTGGACGAGCAGGTAGAGTGCACTCAGCTGACTGTGGTGGATTCAGTTCATCTACACATAAAGCAGAGACGTGTTTCCCTGTGACCAGTCGGAGAGTAGCTACGACTTCAGCTCACCACCATTGTGTTCGGTTCACTGCAGCCCAGCTGGTAGGTAAAGGAACCATTAAACAGGAAAACAAAACTAGTCTTTGGTTATAACTGTAGTGAGACTAGTTAATCCTGTTTAGCCACAGATAAAATGAGTTTATCTTGAAAACAGTGATATAAAAAAGGAGAACGCTTGCAGCTAGGTGAAGAAAAGTCATCTGTACTCGTAAGCCAGTATGTTTTCAAATGTTCAGAACCTGCAGCATCCAGAAGTGACTGCTGTTGTTATAGTTCTTAATGCACCACAGAGCCCTCCTGTTTGCATAGATACACTTGCACATGAGATTTCTCTATTAGACTTTTATATTTGCACATCTTCTACTTTTAAAAACGTCGTCTGCCTGTGTGTAGTTTGTTGTGCGCTGTGCAGTGACAATAAAGGCGTTCTTCTCTTCCACCACCCTGCATCAAGATGTCTGAACAATAAATGTGACTGAAGCACATATAACACGTATATTCTTTGCACTACTTTTTTGCCCGTGCAACGCCTCCTGACCTTTAGAAACGCTGTAGCCGTAGGCAGCGTAAGCAGCTGCTGAGGCGGCCGCTGCTCCCGCCATCGCTCCAGCCATCGCCGCCGCGCTGCCAGCTGTTGACTTCCGGCCGCGTCCTTTGCCTCCAGACTTGGCGCCGCCTCCGGACCCTTTAGGACGGCCGCGACTCCGCCCCGACCTCCCTCTGCCGGGACTGATTGTGTCCGAGCCTGAAACACCTGAAGATGACGGACAATGAAGAAAAAGATCTCTTATTTTGACCCTAATGAACTGATGGTGCAGTCAGACCAGACAGCAGTGAAGTTGTAGAGACGTTCTGTTTGCGTAGACTCAGTCTTTCAGAGATACTGTGGTAATTCCACGGCAATAAAAAATTATTACACATGAATCATAACTCGTCATTACCATAAGTACAGGCTCATCGTTTTCCGTCCTGCTGGCAGAACCAGATCCAGCCTCGGCGGTCATGTGCCCAGTCCTCCAGTACCTTCTCCTCTCTCTGACTCCACACTCTGCATTTTGTTTTGCATGTTTCCCTCCACATGCCGTGGTGTAAAACCTGAGTCTGTCCTATCACCGACACCGTGGCACACATGAAACCCCTTCGTAGAATCCCTCAGTCCTTCCCTCCCTCCAGGCCTTAATCTCACTTTTCCTGCCTTTGCGCTCATTCGTCCAAGTTCGCCGATTTCAAACCTTTCATTATAACATCCACTGGTTCTCCGAACTTTTTCCCAGCTTATCAGGGGCCATTAATAATCTTACTGGCAAGAGCCTCTTAGCATGGCAGCAAAAAATCCCAAATGGGGTTTCAATGAAGCGGCGTGTATTTAGGAGGGATTACCTTATGGCAGCAAATCCAAAGCACGGATAGAGAAGCAAAAACACATATTCACCATCTATCTGCATCCCAGAGAACAGAACGCACTGAGAGGCTGCAGCCGAGGCAAATAAAACGCCCATAAATCTACAAAAATCAGCTGAAAAAGACCTCTGAACCAACAGGCTGCTTGTCTGAATGGAGCCGAGCCTATTAAAACACAAGCCACGATAACAGGCCAGGCTTGTGTGTGCAGTAATGACCCTTGGTGTAAGTCACGCCGATCTGTTTTTCCAGCAGCGCTCTAACACGATAATACTGTCTCATAGATAACGCAGGTTAGGACGTTTCTGGCAAGTTTGGAGCCTTTCAGCGCAGAACATTAACCTTTAAATATGTGTGTTTAGACAGTGTGTCAGATGGGTGGAGGGAGGTTCAGCAGAGTGCAGTGACTCAACAACAAGCTCCTATAGCCAGGAAACTAGTTCAAACTGCATTCCCATTAGCCAGACTCACTCTTTAGGGCTCATGTTTTTGATGCTCTGTGCTGATGCCATGTCTACTGTCAGTGGGGAGAGTGTATGGGTGTGTGTGTGTGTGTGTGTGTATATGTATGTATATATGGAGGGTGGGAGGGACGGGTTTTCTTGTTTTTAATGGTTTTAATGGTTGTAAAGCACTTTGTGTTGTTTTCTTTGTATGAACAGTGCTATACGAATAAAGTTTGATTGATTGATTCTAGCAGCTGGTAGCTATTCTTTAAATTCAGAGGAGGTAAAATAGTCTTTACTAACATTATAACAACGAATGCATTAGCATGCTAGCAGCATTTAGCAGCTAGTTGAGGTGCTTCTAATGCGGCATCCATAATCGACTTCTTCCTCTTCTCCAAAATTAAATTCAAGTTGAAAAGGTTGAAACTTTGACAGAGTTGATGAGATGCAGCTCATCACAGATGGTCGTTGACCTGAAGCGAATGAGGCAGAAGCTCTGGGAGCAGAGCATTGCTGCACCACGACTTTGAAGCTGTTTGTGATTTTAAGGCGAAGTCTCTAAACTTTCTGATCAACCTTTGTGCATATTTTGTATGTAAATAAACAGCTTCAAACACCTGTCACATTATGTATAGTTTGATAGTGTGAAATATGAATCACCATGAGATGTAGAGATGGGAATGTATCAGTGAAGTTAGAAGAAAATTAAATATGTACGTCAGACTACTTCAGAATGATCCCTACTCACAGCCCTGGACAGGTTCAGCAGTCCAACAGCTGAATGTTCGTGTTCTGTAGGAGCTTTATAAGATATGATAAGAAGTTCTGACATCAGATACTGCAGCTGTGACTAAAGTCATCTCCAGCAAATTTCAAAGTCAAAGTTCTGGAAAACACACTGCATACTGGTTTAATCCTTCCATAAATGTCGGCTGAATTCATTCATTCACTCACCATTCATGTTGTCGGAGACCGACCCGGACACGGAGGCCGGGGAGTTGGTGGCACGAGACTGCGGCGCAGAAGAAACGGGATCGTCGACGATGACCAGCATGTCGCTGCTGCTCTCGTCGGCGTCGGCGTCCGGAGGCAACGAACCGGGCTGGAGCTCGCTGCTCAGGGAGATCTGTCCATGCACAGGAGGACACACAGACATACACACAGGCTGGAGGTCAGCACCACGGGGGAGCAGGAACCGGGCCGGTACGGTAACGGGTCAACAGGAGAGGAACGAGAGAGGAACAGAAAGTAAAGCAAGGAAGGCAGCAGCAGGAGATCAACAAGTGACCGAGGGTTGGAAGGATTTAGAGGAAGAGGAAGGGAGCAGCAGTGATGAACGAGTGGAGTGGAAGAAGAGGAAGAAGAGGAATCAGTAACCAAAAACATATGAAAAGGAGACAAAGTATGAGAAAAGAAAAGGGGGTGAGGGAATTTAAAAGCACAAGATGTAAAATAAGAAAGTGAGTTTGTGGATGCAGGCCAAAGAAACCTAATGGACCATCTCCTGCAACATAAATCTCATTAATTTTCCTTTTCTCACACACTCCACCGTTCCTGTTTTCCCCCGGCCCGGCCTCACCTCGCTGAAAGGACTGGGCATGGCCGAGTCCATCTCCACGCTGATGAACGAGTCGTCTCCGTCTGCAGACAGGTTGGAGTTGTCGGCTGAGGGCGCGTGGGAGATGACCAGGTTCACCTCCTTCTTCCTCTTGCTCTCCGACTCCTCGTTCTTCTTCTGCAGGTCGGACACAGGAAGGAGGAGGAGACGGTTAGAGGACAATGATGAGTACGACTCATCCGATGCTAGCAAGGTCATCTTACTCACCTAATTATTTTGTTTATTTCAGTTAAATCCAGATTTTATGATCCCAGGTATGACTGATAAACGGACAAAATCGGCGTCTCTGGGAGGTTTAATGCTTCACTTTCCTTCCTTTATTCTCCTTTTTGGAGGATCCTTGAGTTGGTGGTCAGCAGGTTGCCGTGTCCATTTGTTCAAGTCCGGAGCAAGATAAAGCTCAACAACGACTGACCAGATTGCCATGAAATCCAGTCCGGATACTGTCCCCGGAGGATGATATCTGAGCATTTGGATGAACCCCCTGACCTTTTATCTGAACCTCCTTTAATCTTTGACAGGCTGCATCCAACAAATGATCAGATTTCTGTTAGATTTTCTGGGTTTATGCACTCACTGGTCACACTATTAGGTCAACACGTGAAGTCGAGCAGCTTCTAGACTTTAAGTTTTTGTAGACGTTTCTGTTTTTTTGTCTATTATTATTTTTGTGGTGTTTCATGTCTTTATATTTGCATCAAACACCATCACTCACTATGACCTCATCAATAGAAGAGAATTATCACCTTCTAAGTAGGTTCTAATGTAGTCAATGTCTCTGCAAACATTGCAGAAAAAACATGTATTATATATAAGAAACGTTAATCTAACACTTAGATCATTGGTTTCTTGGCACATTCATGCTCCCCAGAGGACGAACCGTTCCCATTTTGGACATTGCTTGAGCTTTATGGTTGAGCTAAAATGACAACTTGTTTTTTTTAACTAACCCTACATTATAAATCACAGATTTTTTCTTTATTATTTTCACTGCAGCAGGCCTCACAAAGTCCATACTGCTGCATGCTGCATTCAAACAACTCGGTTTGACCCTCTGCAGTGCAAAATGAGCCGTCATGTGTCGGCCCGAGCAGCTAGAAGAGCGCGCTGGCTCGCGAACTATAAAACACAAACAGATGCAACGGGACATGCAGGTGTTGTTTTGTATGATATATCTGACATCCTGCCTATAGGGAACTACTAAATCTGTTTCTGGCACACTGTACAGTTTGTAGTGTCAGTCGTCGAACACACCCTAACTGTCATCATAAATCCTGACGGTTCTTCCAGGACATATTTCAGTGCTCAGTGCTGTTGAGGTTCACCCTCTGCATGCCGCTCGTCAGGCTTCATAATTGTGATTTAAATTGAAACGAATGACGTCGTACCTTTTCGGCGTATTTCTCCCTCTTCCTCTTGCGCTCCTTCACCTTGCTGCTCTCCTCCTGCTGCCTCTTCTCCTCTTGTCTCTGACGCACTGCAGGAAGACACGAAAAGCTTTAAAATGTTCCCTATACTTGCAGCAGCGCTGTTAGTTTTTGTGCTTCATAAAACTGAACTGCCCGTTCAAACACTCACGCTTCTTCTCCAGCTCGTCGTCGTCCAAAAGCAGGCTGACCACCTCTTTAGGTTTGAGAGTGTCTGGTTTGAAGTTGCCTCCAGAGATCACCACCCTTTGGATCTTTTTAAACAAGAGGACATTAAAGCATTAGCCAGCTCTGTAATAAATTCAGATCTGCATCATGCATCCCAGGTTTACTAGAGTACAGTGTGATGGACGACAGCTACCCTAACGCATGTTGAGTTAAGAAAGATTATTTAAAATATTTCTCCAAGAACCAACAAAGTGTCCAAACCAGCAACTCTGCAAAGACGCACACTTGTTACTACATCTTTAAGAACCGCTGAACTCAGATTAATCATATCCTGTGTTTATACAACTCATGCTGGAGCTTCAGACCTCGCTCTTCTCCTTGGCCCGCTGCAGGATCCTCTCCTCGATGGTGCCCTGGCAGATGAGCCGGTAGACGGTGACCTGCTTGGTCTGGCCCAGCCGGTGAGCCCGGTCCATGGCCTGCTGGTCCACCGTGGGGTTCCAGTCGCTGTCGTAGAAGATGACCTGGAGGGAAACGGTGACGTCTGAGTGTGTTTTTCTACTATTTAAAACCTCATAATGAACTTCTGATCCTAAAGCACTTGTTTATGGGCAGACAAACACTCGTTCTCTGTAACTACGTGTTATCCCAGGTGAGCTGCCTCGTAGCATGACAGATGTATCGTGTTAATAATCACGTCAAACTCGTTGTTATGGAAACTAATCTCACTGTAGCAGCACAAAGGGAGAATATGCTGAGAGATGTTAGAAAACACAGAGATTACTGTATGTTCAAGACATGTTTAGTCCCATTTATTGCACACTTTCATACTATATTGCAGTTATCTGAACATATTGCTAATTAGGGCTGCAGTGTCCACATCAAATGCTCACTCAGTTGGTTGACACGAACTCATCTGACCACAGTTTCATTGGTGGACAATCTCCAGAGTTACTCTCATAAGTAAAAAAGCTCTACAGCAACAGTGTTCCTGGATTAATACCTAATAAATTAACAGGCTACCTGTGAACACCCCCACGTTTTCACAACTCCAAGGTTTATTTTATATAATGTTCACTCGGAATCTGTTCCAAACTAACTGACGCTCCCTCAGAGAAGTCCTCGGTGAGGCTGGATTTTCTTTAAACAGATGGCCATGGAGTGGAGTGTAAACTTTGCAAACAGCAGGTTGTGTATCGAAGCTCAACAACCAACACGTCAGATCATCTGAAAACAGCAGCTAACGTGTCTGTGCTGTGTTTCCAGATAGCTACTGTGCTGTCATCACCAGTGAATTCAGCTGGATTTTCAGCAATCATATGAATATGTGGAGCCGGTTTGCTCCGAGTCAGTGTAAGATAATCACATTCAAATTATTGTTGATTAATGTTGATCACATGTTGATTTAGGGTTCATTTAGGCTAATAAAGCTGCAGGTGGAGTCACTCAGTGCACCGCGTAACATTTACTTTATCTCCAGTGAACACATGCTCATTTCTTTTCCCTTGCGATCATTCGACTGGTTGAAGAGTAGACGTGGCTTCAGTGTCGACTCCAGATTATAAATAAATGACCAGTTCGTTGCAAATTGCAATAACAATAAAGATATCTTATTCTGTTCCTCAGAAAGATTCTTTGCTTTGTTACAACCCCATTATTAAGAGTCTTCTACCTCTAAAAGAAAACTACACAGCAGAAAACATACTCTGGCCTCTGATACATTTAGAAAGTATTAGTGCTGTTTAAACTTTAATACAAATGCGTTTCCCGTGTGCGTCAGCGACTCACAGTGTCAGCAGCAGTCAGGTTGATGCCAAGCCCTCCGGCTCTCGTACTCAGCAGAAATACAAAGATATCCGTCCTGTGGAGGGGCGGTGGGAAAGAAGGGGAGGAAGGAGAGGGACACACACACAATCGAAAGATATTATCTACAACTGCAGCTACAGCACAAATATCCATATCATGGCATAAAATTAAGTTAGAACAAACTTGAGCCTGGCATGACGGCCTGTCCGAGCTTTAAGAGAAGAATGCAAAGGAAATTAAATATGCACCAATGCTGGAGTCCTGCACAATAAAGCTGCTTCAATAAACTTCAGACTCGCCCTACAAGAAGAACGAGAGCAACGCTGGCGCCTCAGAGCTATGCACTAATGCAAACCAGAGCGTGTGGAGGACATGCGTACACGCACACACATGTAAGATTAAACTGCCCTCTGATTGCAGCAATACACAGAAAGGTAGATTTACAGTGGAGTTGCTGGCACAGAAGTGACGCCTGGTTTCACACACGTTCACACTCCAGATCGTTTTCTATCTTTACCCACCGGCTCTGGAAGTCGGCCACCATGTCTCTGCGTTCTGAGATCTTGGAGGATCCGTCGAGGCGCATGTAGGTGTGTTTCCGATAAACCATGTACTCCTGCACAGACGGGACAAAACAATGAGGTAAACAGTGATACATAATGTGTGTCGCTCTGCATTTATTCTGCTGTTGGTCAGAACGAGAGGTTCCCAGAAAAATGGGGGACCGTCTCCAAAACTCTAAGTGCTTGCAAATGTTTCCCAACACAAAGATGTCACATACGATCAGCGGCTAGTGTTTACTGACGACCAAAAGAATTGCATTTTGTTGCACTTTTCAAACAGTATCAGTGAATAAAACAGATAAAGGCCTCCATTAAATGAACCCTCTGAACTCCAAAGCAGTTTGTGGATGTTTTTTAGTCACACTTTTCCTCAATGTGGGCCCATTTTCCACTGCTGGATGAAGTCCTGCACCTCTAAAGATCAGCTAGAAGTGGAGAAAATGGGTGTTTTTTTCACTCTGCAATCAATTCCGTGTATCTTCCAACAACTTGCTCCTCTGTGTCCTGTTTTTGAGCCATTTTTTGAGCCAGTATGCTTCATTTTCTTCTCACACTCTCTTCCTTGTTTCCTCTCTGCTCTGTGGAAACACTACCTGAGGCTCAACCTAAAAACTCGACATCTTTTGTTGGTCATAATCGAGTCTGTCGTCGATTGTCAGTGGAGCTGAGGAGTGCAGGATTTGCAGTATTTCTACAGAACCTGGTGTGACCTGTTGAGATGAAGAAAAAAACTATTTGGATAAAAATCACAATCTTAGGCTTTATTTTTGATGATTTCTTCGGATGGAACGGCACATCACATACGATGCGGTCAATTAGCATGTAAAGGTTAAAAAAATGAGATGAACTTTTGGTAACTTTCTCAACATAATTTGAGTCCATCAGCAGGTTTTGGTGTTTAGAGGCTTATAGAGCAACTTGCAGTTTGATTTTTTTCAACTCAATTTCTACTTAATATTTCTCCTAAATTATTAATTGAAACATTAATACACAGATGCATATATTTTATGAAATTCAGATGGAAAAGTCAGCCTTTTGAGCAGTGCTCTTAAAACACTTATTTTTGGCATATTTTTAATGTTTAGAATAAAAGGATTTTGATGAAATTTCCCAACTTTGAGCTTATATTCGGCTCATTTTCCTGAAGGAACCACACTCGACACATGATGAGTCCAGTGACTGTTGGAAAACTGATGATTGATGATGAACTGGTGACTCTTTTTAAAGTTTCTCGCTCTGAAACTGCGTCATTTGTCATTTTTAAAAGCCCTTTAAACGAAGGCAGAGTACATGCTCTTGGTCTCTGGTGCAAGGTAATACTGTGAAGTGGTTTTTACTACAGTCAGCATTACTGTCAGTGCTACTGGCTTTGAGTAATAAAAGCTTTAATACACTGGAAGGTTCTTATTTCTTCATCTTATTAAACATTTTTTTCCAAACAGATACCTGCAGATGACGACAGTTGGGACCTGTTTGCTTAAAAACAAATTAAAGTGTAATTTTTGCAATTCTTAGCGCTGACATTCCTTTAAACCCGCCGGTGGCTTTTAGGGGTCAGAGGACCAACACAAAAGTTGTGTGAATTCATGGATTTTCACTGAACCTTCCTGGATCACCTCTACTACTGAGAACCGACAGACCTTTCTGATCCAAACTCGGCGAAATTCGAATCTCAAACTGTTTTTCAGCCACTGCTCAGGGAATGCACCCCGGGAACTATACACTGAATTTAATAAGCTTTCAAATGTGAAATTCTATTTAGGTCTCGCCCCCCTGAGGAGACGATAACCCCTGCAGGTCTACTTGTTAAGTTCCAAGGGTCGAGAAATGTTAGAATTTCTCTCTGACAGCAACTTTGAGTCCAAAATATCAGAATCCCACATTTCTTGTGTGCATTTGTTGGAGTGGAAACCTCAGTCCCAGGAGCCCGGCGAGGCACTGGGAAATGCAAGAAACTGACATTCGATCCCGGCAAAGTCTGCTAAGCTGCTGTGTGTGTTTGTGTGTGGGTGTTTGGTTGGACGGGAGGGGCTCTGAAGGCAGCGTGATGAGGTGACAAACTGATCTCTGTTTAAGCCCTGAACCCGCGACCTCCTCGGCGAAACATGTCAGTACCCCTGAACCAACGAGCCAGTCACAGCTACTGGCACACATCCCCTCACACATTCATTACGGACGATATCGATGATTTGACACCATGTTTTTTTCTGTGACCCCTCCCTAAGCTCGGCTACGACACCGGAGGCCTCCGTCCCTGCAGGGTCTGCCCTCCTCTCTCCGAGCGTCTGGCTCAGTTCCCAGCCGCCCCATCTGCTCCGAGTGAACACTGCATTAGGGACCATTAGCACAGCGCTCGCCAAAATGCTGCTAACCTTGTTGGATTGGCTTTTGATATGTTGCCAGCGTGATGCTGCAGATACTGTTGCTCTCGGGAAACTCAGCCCCCCTGATCTATATCATCGCAATCAAAGTTTCAGAGAAGGTTCACCTGAGATGTCGCAACTTCTACAGACCTTTAAGTGGTTCTGAGTCCTGGCTCGTCAACAGCAGACATCACATGTCGAGTAATTGTGGTCAACTTCCAGGATGACCGCAACAGTGAAATCTAAACCTCAACAGCTGCAAACTTTCTCTTATATTCCCTTTCAGTTTGTGCTAACCGTAGGTGACGTCCAAGCATTTCTGCAGTTTTTCACTCATTTTCTAATGTGTTCCACTGCAAACGTTATAAATCAAGGTGTACGTTCAGGTCAGGCCGACTGAACAAAATGTTTATTTTTACAGCAAACTGTCAGCGGCCCATTATGAATCACATTTAGGGGAAAAAAAGAAAAACCCTTCAGTTTGCTGCTCAGATATTACAGTCATTAAGTGATGTATGGGAGGAAGAACACATGGGAAAACAAAAATGTGTCTCAAAGAATGATGAAATTTCCTGTTTCTCAGTATAAAACTTTCTGCTCATTTTTTTTCTTCAGGTCTTTTGAGTTAAGAACAAAAAGGTTGTTCTCAGCTTCCCAAACAACTACAATGAGTCCCCACAGAGGAGAAATGTGGAACGTAAATACTATAACGGAGCTCTTCACCATCGTGGAAATATAGGCTTCTGTGTCTATAAGCATCTGAGCTGTTTTGAGATGCTGAGTTGGAGAATGTTCACTGGACTGTTGTAGAAATCTAGTAAAAGGTGCAAAATATGTAAATGTGCATAGTTTGCTGTGTTACTTATATATAAACTGCTTTTCCAGCATAGTCCTTCTTTTACTGTTATACGCACAAATAAGTCTCCAAATGGCCTTTTTAAGGAAGACGCCCAGACACACCCTGAGAAAATATGTAAGTTCTGTGGTATTGTTATTAAATTTGACCTTGGACCGGGGTACGGTTTCATGCTTCATGTTCTCCAACAAACAGGTCCAAGCTATAGTCAACTGCAGAAATAAAAACCTTTCTACGTCCACGGATTTACAATTCTATCACTCAATGTAAGCAGCTTCTTGGGGGGCTGCCACTATTTATCAGAGCCAGAAACAAAAACAACTTTCAACTTTCTGGAGGTTCTTGAACGTATAACGTCCTGAAAAACAACCAAATATAAG